AGTCGAGTTTCCTCTGCTCGCCCGGAATGTCAGTTCCAGGGCTGGGTCTTCCTTCCTGCTCCCAATGCCAGGCCGCACAAGCCTCCAGGCCGGTCCCAGGCTCACGGCTCGCAGTGAGCTGTTCCAGTGACCCTTGGAAACCTTCTAGTTAAGGCTGTGCTGATCCTGTTATAACGCAGAGCCCTTAAAGCTCCAAGCGTGGGCAGGGCCTGGTTTATTGTTCATTAGACATTTTTACTGGGCGTGCCCCAGGGGAGAGGTCGAAAACGCCGGACTCTGCAGCTCTGAACTGACTCAGCGTGGGAAGTGTTTCCCTTAGAGGAGATTCTGCGTGTATCCAACGTTCTAGAAAAGGTGTGTGTCCTTTGAACCAGATAGCCCACTTTAGGCAGCAATTTATTACTATCTTGGGAAAATAAATTGCCTGTGAGCATTCCCTTTAGTATTGGCTTAATGTTCAACAGTTGGAAAGTTGCACCATTGAAGACCCAATAGTGAGGGACGGGTTATATAATGATGAGATAGCCACATAGTGGAATAACCACAAAAGCGTTAGAAACCCCTGTATGGGGTGCATAGCTATTGATGTGGAAGGTGTTCACGATATAGTTTGAAATTAAACACCACCAACAAAAACGAGTTTCTGAATAGCATGCATGATCTAATTCCATTTGAATTTCGACCAAAAGTTCCTTATTTTCATTGCAAATGCCCAGGTCGCTGTACATCAGAATGCTCATGGGGGTTTAGGATTATTAAAAATACTGTCGCTTCTCTGTATTTTAGGACTTTTCTGTAGTTATCATGTGGACCCACCTGAAGAGGTCTAATGGAGGTGTGAGTCTCGGCCAGGGTATTGTAAGAGCTTCGAGTATTTGAAAGAGGAGGATGTCCCACCCTTGGGGGAGTCCAGTCTCTCAGAGGACTCACTGGGCCACAATCTAGAACAGGGGCAGCAAACTGATTCTGTAAAGAGCTGTGGTAAATATTTTAGGCTTTCTGGGCCATACGGCCTCAGCTGCAACTACTAAACTCCATCCCTAAGACAGAGCCATAGATAACGGCTCTTGAAAGAAGCCACAGGTGATACAGAAATAAATGGGCATGACTGTATTCCAATAAAACTTTATTTACAAAACCAAGCAGTGGGCCAGGTTTGGTCTGTGGATTCTAGTTTGCCAATTTCTGATCTAGAGAAAAATAAGAAAAAAACACACACAAAAAACAGCAGCTTGTTAATTGTTTCCATGAGTGGTCAGCCTGTCCAAAAATAGCACAAATTGTAGGAAGGAACAGGCCAATGAAATTGAAAAGGCGGATGTTTAAAGAGAGGGCTAAAGATAAGTTGTATCATTCTTTCTCCAGCACAGCAGTTGCACCTGGACAAGGGGTGTTGGGGCGACGCAGTGTGGATTGTGCTTCGGAGGGTACAATATGCCAGTCAGCACATTAAAGGGTCTGAAAAGTCGTGCTGGGGAGACGCCTGCTTTGTGGACCCAACATTTGTCAAAGTCTTTTAATACACCACAAAACTCTTTTTCCCGTGTGCATGCCACCCACATCTGATGGTCCCGGGGGAGTCTGAGGGGAGCCACCTCAAGCTTCTCCCCGAACTCCAGAGCTGGGAACATCAGATGCGCTCAGCTCTAATGATGGGACTTACTCACGGAAGTCAGGACTATGCTGATGAAGCCCGTTCTTAACAAAAATAGCCCACACTCCATAGGAGACTTAACAGGGGAGTAAGAATTTTTATTTAGCCCCTCAACAATCCTTCATCGAGCACCAGCTGTTTCTAAGGAAGCATGGGGAAGGCGGAGATTTAGAATGTGCACCCCAGAATCCAGAAATGTGGTCTCCAGCGGGTGGGGGTGTCAGTCCCAGAGAAAAGTGGAAAATGCAGGACCGATGAACCTCCGGGCTGAGCCAAGTCGGAATCGCAGAATCTTTAAAATGGAGGGGCTCGCCCAAGCTGTCGCGGCCCGTTGGGGACATCCTGAGACTTACTAGGGTGATGGATGGATGTAGCCTCCATTTTTACGAAATATCCAGAGATGGCAGATCCTTGGAGACAGAAAGCAGATGAGTGGTTGCCAGGCGCTGGGGGAGAGGGGAATGGGGAGTGACTGCCTAACGGGTATGGGATTTCCTTTGGGGTTATGGAAATGTTTTGGAAACAGCAGGCAGGTGATGGTTGCACAATATTGTGAATTTACTAAACGCCACTGAGCAACTTTGAAATGGTTGAAGTAGTGGAGATTATGTGATTTCTACCATAATTTTTTAAAAGTAGGGTGATGGGATAATTTATTGTACAAACCTGGACAAACCAGGCATCCTCAAACTACGGCCCGCCGGCCACGTGAGGGCCACCTAGCACATTTATCCGGCCCTCCAGGTGTTTTTGCCGGCGCTGCCTGTCCTGCTTAGCAATCAACTCATCCCGGGCCCACAGTGCGCATGCGTGGAGTGTGCACCACACTCTCCAGCAACCCTCCAACGGTCTGCGGGCCAGTGAACTGGCCCCTGTTTAAAAAGTTTGAGGACCCCTGCCGTGGAGAGTCAGAGAATGCTGTGTCCCAGGTACACCAGATGGTCCCAGATGGTCCAACGTACCATCCCAGGTACACCAGGTGGTACAATGTATGGTTCCCTGACTAAAACCACCCTGCTCTGACTCCCTGGCCAGTGATGTTTACTTGCGGACGCTGACAGGCCGCGACTGTCGCGGCGTTTCACACGCTGTGCGTCCTGGGTTATTTCAAATAGGGGTTATGGCCAGGGGTGCCTTCTTGCTGCGGGCGGATAAATAACACTGCAAAGGACATCTTTGTGCCCGTAGCTTTTCTTTCGGGTTACTTCCATAGGATACATTTTTTTTTAGAAATGGGACTACTGAGTTAAAAATAAATATTTCTTTGCGGGGGGTGGGGGGTGAGGAATGCAGGGGGAAAACGTTAGATTTGCTGTCAGAAGACCCGAATTTCAACCCTACCTCTCCCCCTCACTAGCAGCGAGATCAGAAACTGGCTGCTTCTGGGCTGCATTTTCCCAGTGTGTGGACTGGTGGCAATAATTTGAATAGCACCAGGTTACTGCTTGGATTGATGACAGAAGGCAGACTCAGCCAGCGTTGAAAGCGAGTGTTGCCAATTGCTTTTATAACTTACATTGTCCCTGGGGGCGGCGGATGGGCAAACCCGTTTTCCACACCCACCCCTGCCTCGGATGTTGTTGTTATTTTCTTTTCTCGGGGGTGTTTTCCCTTCAGGTGCTTCATTTGCACGCTTGATTTTATGCCTGTTTCGGTGTCAGACTCTGGGGGTGCGGCTGTGAACGGACCCGGGGCGCTTCTTGTGCCAGGAGCTTACGGTTTAGTGGAGGAAACAGAGATAATCCCCACCTTTTCTGTCAGTGCTGGGCAAGGGGGACGCACAGGGAGTGAGATACTAGATAGAGCACAGGAGGAGGCACCTGAACCAGCCCTAGGGCATCAGGGAAGGCTTCCTAGAGGAGGTGGCCTTATGGCGATGGGAACGGAGGGAGGAATAAAGATTAGCCAGGCAGGGAGGACATGGCAGTGCACAGGTGTGAAGTCGGGGAGGAGCATGACATGTCTGGGGTTCACTGAGCTGGAGTGTATGTGTGTGTGACAGACAGACAGATAGACAGACCGATGCGTGCTATCAACCATCAGACCGAAGCCAGTGAGATAAAGAGGCTCTGGATCCCACCAGGCCTCAGGGACAGGAGTTTGATCTTCATCTGGAGGGCAGTGGGGGACACCCGTGGGCTTGGAGCGTGGAGGAGACATCCTGGTGCTTGCATATTCGAGGATCCCTCTGGCTGCTGCTGGAATAGACTGGTGGGGCCCCAGCTGTGGCAGGAAGGAGGCTGATTTTAAACGTCCCTTCTCAGGGACGTCCCTGGCCACCCCATCTCAAATTCCTTTCTTTATTATCACTTATCCAACTAACTGCTTATATATTTCACTTATTTATGTTGTTTGTTTTCTTCTCTCCTGTATCCTTGAACGTCAGCTCAAGCAGGTTTCCGTATGTTTTGTTCATTGCCGTGTCTCCAGCGCCCGACCCGTGGTAGGTACTCAGTGACTGTGTACTGGGGTGAAGGAAGAAGGGAAGGCAGGCAGGCGCCAGGGCGGCAGCCGTGGGGACAGGGATGAGAGGATGCACGCGCTCCGGTCGCCACTTGGCATTTTGGTTGGGCCTTTTCCATCCGGGGCCCGTGGGCGGGCAGATCGGATGCTCACTGCAGCCCTGCTCTTCCGGCAGGACACGAGCGTGCACTTTGCCAATCCGTTCTTGGCTGTTCCCACAGCGCCCCGCACAAGATGGGCTTGCAGAGTTGGGGGGCCCAGGGCTACGTTCCGGAAGATGCTGGAAGGTGTCAGGACCGGCCCACGCCCCTCACCAGATGGTGGCATTCCCAGGAAGCGGCAGCCAGAGATGGCTGAGTGAATGGCTGGGGAGCTCTCGGCTCGGATTTAAGGGTGTAATTATGAAAGAGCCTCAGCAGCTGTTAGAATGAATCAACGCCTCTGAGACTGGGAGAAAAGCTGCCAAGCGGTTTGGTTTTGAGTGGAAGCGCTGTTTCTTGCCTTCTCTCTTGCGGATCTCTCGGATTCCCCAGGAGACCACGAGCCCCAGCACCGAGCACAAAGCCTGGCGCTTTGGGAAGTGTTTGCAGAAGGAGGGTCAGGAGGATGGACGAATGAACGCTTTCGAATGACTCCTGTGTCATTTCAACACCTGTTGCTTTGGGGGACGCCCTTCTCAGATGAGTGGTGATTTTTTTTTTTTTTTCCTGCATGAAATGGCAGGAAATGGGAATTTTGAACTTTGCAGATCATTCCTGGGAGATCCAGCTTGTGGAGTTGGCAAGTTGAGCAAGAGCAAGAAAATACCCACTGCTATTATACCCGCTGCTTGTGGCTAGACTGACGTCACCTCTCTCCGGGTCCACCAGCCTCCTGACCTCCCAGGTGGACGCCTAGCTCCCCGCCTGCCCCACACGCTGACCTCCGTGATGAGGATATGTGTGAACCAGAGATGGCTCAGACTCTGTTTTCCTGCTTTCCTGGTTTTGGCCGCAGTGCTGAGCTGATGCACGATTAAAAAAAAAAATAACTGAGCCCGTCCACCTTAGGAATAAGTAGCAGCTGGCCCGTGTGCGAGTGCACTTCTGAAATGTTTGGGAAGACACTAACAGCTATTAAATCAAGCGTAACATATGGGCTACCTCTAAAGCAAGGTTTTGAAGCCTGTAGTCAAATCGGTGTCCTTGTGTTTTACCGCAGGTTAAACGAAAACCTGAGGACCATGGGTTGGGAAGGACTTTAAAATATTATTGAACCATCTACTACTGCGGGATTAAAAACTTATTTTACTTTCCTTTGTTCGTGGACTTATTAATTGATTCATTGATTTATATTCACATCCGAGGCTTTTGCTAGGCCCTCGACGCGGAGACCCGAGCGGTAGACGAAGCCATTACGCAGACTGCAGGGGGCAGAGGCACGTTCCGTGTCAGGGGTGTGGACTTAGGTGTGGTCGATCTCCTCACTTCCTCTTGCCTTTACCTTTTTCCTTGCATGCAGAGTAGCCACTGCAGTGGGTCCGGGGACTCTAAAGGGGGTGACATTTGTGTGCCATCAATCCCCATTCAGCCACAGTTGCTCTGGGCGGCTCTTCCCAGCAAAAGCCACGCAGGGGGACATCCGTTGTTCCACATTTGGGCAGATGAGCTCCCGTGAGGGCGTGCGGTCCATGTGGTCGTGGCGGGTGTGTGGCAGTGGCCCGCCCTAGGGCGGAGCCCCTCCCTGGGGCCCAGCGGGACTGGTGGGGGGTCCCTTCGTGGGGCTTGGTGGGTGGGGCCTCCATCTGAGCGCGTCTCCACTCTGGGGCTCTGTCGCTAGCCACGGCCAGAGCGACGCGTCTTGTGTCCCAGGCGGTTTGGTGTCATTTGTCATGAGACTCGTGGCATCTAGACTTAGTTGGCATTTCAGAAGAGTGAGAAGTGGAGGCAGAGTATTTCATCATTCGTTCGTTTATTCACTCAACAATTATTTATGCGTCGATAGCTTTGTCTTTGGTGCTGTTATAAACCGTGACATTTATTCCGCAGGGTTGTAATTCTGTGTGTGTGTGTGTGTGTGTGTGTGTGAGTTTCTTACACAAGACCGTGAGTTCCGTGGGTGTGCAGGGCTATTTCCCGCCCTTCTTTGTATATGTACTGGGTGGTCCAAAAACATGCACCAGAGAAGCAGGGAAGGTTTTCGCGGAGAACCTGCTGTGGGCTCCGCACTATTTATGCGCACGTATATGGAAGGCTACATAATTGAAAAGCCGAAGGGAGCATCCGTCCTCCTAGCTGGAGGAGATGCCAGCGGATGCAGTTGGAGCTTGCGAGCTTCTGCGCCGTCTGTTCACACACCGCCGGAGCTGCGGAGCCGGGGCCGGCGTCCCCCGTCTCCCCAGCCCCGCGGCTCTCAGCCCGCCGGAACGCACGGCGTCTCCCCACCCGCTCAGGCCGTGGGAGCGTGCGGACAGCGCCGACCACGATGAGGTGTGACACCCTCGGCTTTCTGCGGCAGGCACACCCCCCGCCCGGGGCCTGCCGGCTCGGGTAAGTGGGGCCGGCGCTCGCCCAGCGGGTGGAGGGCGCCGGTGGGCTCTGCCCGGGGATGTCGCCTCTGTCCTTTGCCTCCCGCCTGCCTGGGCCGCGTGAGTGTCGCAGAGCGGGGCTTCGAGAGGTCACGGGGGAAGCTGGCCGTGGAGGGGAACAGCCCGGATGCGGAGCCCTAGGGCTCTGCCTGGGGTCTTTGCAGGCGGAAGTCCTCCGATTCTCGGATGCTGCGTGTCTGATGTCTCTCCTGCCTCCGACTGGGTCTAGACAGTGTCCTCCGGTCTGGGGCGATGGAGCCCGTCAGCACCACTGAGCGTGCAAGGGAGAGAAAACACCCAAATCTGCCTGCCAGTCTCCCGTGGAGGCTGCCGAGAGAGTGGGAGACGGGGAGCAGCGTGCCACCCCGAGGAGGGGGAGCAGGAGGCCGGCGCGTAGCTGAGACACCCTCCCCTCCGTTGGCGGCAGTTTTACCGGGAAAGCAAACACTGGTGTGACAGGTGCCTGCGGATCCAGAACAGGGGCCTTGCCCGGCACTCTGCTAGGCCGGGAAGGAATACGACATAATTTTTACACAGGCAGGGCCATGCGGGGGACCGGACCTGGGGTCAGGCTTCAGCTGTGTGGCAGTGAGTGGGCCTGGCGGCCTCTCTGGCCCCTTTCCCCGAGAGGGAGGTGGCGGTCGCTCCTGCCTTTCGGGGTTGTCGGAGGATCAGTGAGGGAGGAGGGCTCCCGTTTTGAGAAGACGGATCTCACGACTGCAGGAACAGGGCGCTTATGCCCCGAGTCTCTGCAAGACGGGGTCTGGTGGTCAGGCCCGCCCGATAAGGCTGTGGGGAGGGACCGTGTAAAACACGGGAAGCGCCGGGCTCGGCTCAGGGTCCTACTTGTGCTGAGCCCTCGCCGTCCCTTTCCTTTTGAAGAACACAAAGGCCAGGCTGGGTGCCTGTGGTCCTGTCCCCCAGCTACTCGGGAGGCCAAGGCAGGAGGATCGCTTGAGCCCAGGAGTCGGAGGCTGCTGTGAGCTGTGATGACGCCACAGCACTCCAGCCTGGGTAACACAGTGAGACCCTGTGCCCAACAGTAAATAAATAAGTAGATTTTCAAAACAGAATATGGAGTCAGCGGGCATAAAATTAGGTGTTCTACAGGAAGGATCCTAAAGGCAAACAAATAACAGCAAATTGAGTGGGAAAAAATGAGATGGCTGATTATTCTTTTTTTTTTTTTAATGGTATCTGGAAAGGTTGGGGAGGGAAAAGTAAAGGGACCAAGGGACGGTCTGGTGGGGCTGGTGGCTGAGGCCTGGGTCCCGTCGTGGCCACTCCCCTCCCCGTGCCCCCAGCGACTGGTGCTCTGGGGCAGCTGCGTGAACTGCGGTGGTCGCTCACCTCCTGGGCACGGGGTCGGGGCAAGGGTCAGCGGGGGTCCCTGACGTGCAGGCTCTGCAGTGGGGACATAGGGCAACGGCACCGAGGGACCCTGAGGACGCCCTCCCTGGGGCTCATGCCGGGAGCCTGTGTGGTGTGACTCTGGGTCGAACCTGGGTTCGAGTCCTGACTTCCCCTCTTCCTTCCCGAGGGGCTGCGGGCTAGTGGCCTCGCCTGGCTGAGCTGGTTCCAGGTCTGTCCGGCAGAGACAGTCCCTTCTTACCCCGAGAGCTGGCCGGAGACGAGCCGAGTCAGGGGAAGTCCTCGGGCGAGTGTCTTTTCCACAGCCTCTGAGCTGGAACGAGCTTCAGAGACGGCCGTTCGGTCCCTCCCGTCGCCCGGAGCTCAAGGCGGTGGAGGGGCAGGCCCGGGCCCGCCCGGTGAGGTCAGCGCCAGGCCGTGGTCCAGAACCCTAACCCAGGGCTCTCTGTCCCGGTCCCCCAGTCCACTCTGCCGCAACCCAGACACCACGGACCGTGCCCTCAATTCCGTTTTTTTTTTTTTCTCAGCTGTTGCTCCTCCATTCCCAACGTTCCTCATCCCCATGGGTCCACGAGCATAACCATGGCGACACGGGTCGAGGTCGGCTCCATGACGTCCCTGACGGTGATGCCGGGCCTCGGCGAGATCGGCAAGGAGGAGACCCTGCAGCGGACTTACTTCTGCCAGGCTGGCGACTCCTCCAGGGCCCCCACGGCCAGGCTCTCAGAGGCGAGGAGCCCGCTGCGGAGCCCGGCCCGGGGGCTGCCCCTGCCGCGGCTCGCCCCCAAGCCCTTCTGCAGGGAGCAGGGCCCCCCGGACACGACGCCCGCCGCGCCCTCTTTGCAGCACAGTCCGACTGGCCTGGCTCCTTCCGGGGGGCCGTCTGAGCGGCTGGCTGCTAAGGACCTGGACGGGAGGGTGCCCGGCTGGGCGGGGCGGGAGGCCGGGGGCGGGGAGGGCCCGAGAGGAAGCTCGTCCCCGGTCCCCAAGGCCGTGCCCCTGCGGCCCAGCCCCACCAGCACGATCCTCTTCGAAACCACCAGGACCGGCCCCGCTCTGGGGAAGGCGGTCAGCAGCGAGGGGGCCCAGGGGGCCACGGCGGGCGGGTCTCATGAGCCCCCTTCGGGCTCGCGGCCGGAGGTGGCCGCCAAGCCCACCGTGCCCGCCCGCAAGCCGGCGGGGACCCTTCCCCGACCGGCCTCCCTGCCGCAGGACGCGAGGCCGTCCGGGGTCCCGGAGGAGGCAGGCCGGGGCCCGGCGCTCTCCAAGGCCGGCGGCGAGGAGCACGCCGCGGCCAGCCCCGCGCCGGAGCCCAGGCCTCGCCTGCAGAGGAGGCCCGTGTCGGCCATTTTCGTGGAGTCCAGCCAGCCTCCGCTGCCGGGCCCCGGCGGGGCGGCCTCGGCCGGGAAAACGCCCCCCACCCCTCCCGAGAAGACGTGGGTGAGGAAGGCCAGGCCTCTGTCCATGGACCTCACGGCCCGGTTCGAGAGCAGGGAGGCCTTGCTGAGGAGGGCGGCCGAGGAGGGCGGCACCCCCGAGCGCCGGGCCCCGGAGCCCAGGGCGGACAGCCAGCGTGTGGCCAGGCCAGAGGCCCCCCGCCGTGACCCCAGTTCCGACTTCCTAGAGGTGGCCAAGAAGATCCAGGAACGGAAGGAGAAGGTGCTTCTGCAGCAGGAGACTGGCAGCCCCAGCAGCCCCCGAGCCCCGGGGGGCGCAGCCAGGGGCTCCCCCGGGGAAGACCGGAGTCCTTGGGGGGAAGAGCAAGGCAGGCTGGCCCGGGAGCCAGAGGAGGCGCCCGAGCCCCCTTCACCCGTGCCAGGACGGGGCCCGGACCTCGCCGAGGTCAAGGGCAGAGCGGCCGAAGGCGTCCCCTCCAGGGGGAGCGTCAAGAAGCGCATCAGCCTATTTGGGGAGGAGAGCACCGTGGTGGCCGTGACCTTGGCCTTGGCAGCAGGGCCTGGACCCCCCTCAGCCTCCCCCGACCCCCCACCGGAGGCGCCAGAGCCCGGGAAAGGGGCCGTGAGCGTGCAGGCGCGGGTCAGAGGCTGGGCTGCCGAGAGCTCAGAGACGAAGCCCGCGGTCCGGAGGAGAACGTTCCAGGCCCGGCCGCTGTCCGCGGATTTGACCAAGCTGTAAGTGGACGCTCCACGCGCCTCCCTCCCTCGGCCCTGGGCTGCCGCCCACCAGAGCCCCTCTGGGTCTGGCCAGCAGTGGGGGCTAGAGCTCGGTATGCTTGGCCTGCTCGGCTTTGCGTGCACCTGTGCGTGCACTGGGAGGTAGCCGCCCGTTTCACAGATTCAGGCCAGAAAGCCCAACCAAGCTGAAGCCAGGCGCCATTCCAGCTCCGCCTGTCTCCATTGGATGGGGAGATGGAGGCCTAAGCCTCCGGGAGTGGCCCGGAATATAAAATCAGAGGAGTCAGGATAACCTGGGCAGGTGCTTCCCCTCACTGAGCCTCAGTGTCTTGACCTGGAAAATGGGAATGATACTAAGACCTCCCCTAAAAGGATGGAGGCACAAACATAGAGATAATGCAGGACTGCGGCTGCAAATGGTGTTATTGATCCAGCTGGTTAATAACGACTTTCTAAACTTGGCACACCTGTTTTCCCACAAGTGGCCACCGACAGGGAGATGCCACCAGGCGTGATCAGCGTGCTCGTTAATAACATGCATGCCACCAACATACTTTGTCCGGGGTGGAGCTTGCAGGGGCAGGACGTCTGGGCAGGCTGCCCTCCCGGCGCTGGGAACCGGGGCAGCCGGCCCGGCCACGGTTAGACCAGTGGCACTCAGCACGTTAGAATCATCTGGAACAAATACTCAGGCCTGGGCCCCACCCCTACAGATTCTGATTCAGTTGGTCTGGGGAGGGGCTTATATTTCGGTGGTTTTTAAAAGCTTCCAAGTGGGTTTCTTGCGAAGCCAGGCCTGAGAACCCCCCAGCTAAGGCAGCAGAGAAAGGGGCACCCGTGCCAGGGCCCTCACGTGCTCCCTCTCACTGTGTCCTCATCGTGCCTTGGAGGGGCCGCGTGACTTCCCCTCAGGCAGGTGGGGAAACTGAGGCTCTTAGTTTAGCAACAACACAACCACAGCCTCACACCTCCCAGGACGCAGACTCTGGGTTGCTAGGTTGGGGTCAAGTTGTAAGTGGTTCATGTTTTTCTCCCTTCCTTTTCTCCAAAGCCCCCGGCCCCGAGCTAAGCACGTGCCTCATCTTCCGGCATTTCCACCAGAGAACTCTTCAGAGAGGGAAAGAGTCTAGCCCCACTCCCTCTTGCCCTTGATATGCGGGGAGACTGAGGGAAGGGTGACAGCCCACGGTGGAGGGGCTGCTGCCCTGCCTGGATTGCCGCCAACAGCAGCTGTTAATTACCCCTCCTGGGGCATCTTCACTCTTCCCTAAACGCCCTCATGTAGCCATTAGGGCCTTGGGTAGCCTCTTATCTGCCCTATAAAAGGGACGGGGAGGTGTTAATTATCCCCATTTTATAGATGAAGAGACAGAGGCTCAGGTGAGGTCGCAAGCCCGACCGAGCTCCCCAGTAAGGAGGCAGGTAGAGCTGGGGCTAGCAGCTGTGTCTTCGCCCCAGCCCGGGCCCCTTGCACCCCGACCGATGATGCTGTGTGTCAGGTAGGCTGTCCCCACCCGGCGCTTCTCCTCTGGGCAGCTGGATAGGAAATGTCCTTTCTCGAGGGACATCGGCTGGTGTGGCTTTGACACTGCCAAAGCCGGCTTCACCCTGGGGCTCCTGAGCTGGCGGCATGTGGGCTACGGGGGACCCCGGCTTCTGGCTCCATCCGAGTAACTCGGATCTCTGTACCAGGTTTTCAGGTTCAGCGTCAAGCAACGACGTCAGACTCGAGAAGGGTGCTAGGCTGAGCATTGAGCTTCCTAGGGACCCGAGGGACAAGGTAAGGAGTGGCTGCGTCGGGCACGTCTCGCTTTCCAGTGGCCACTTACACTTACCGGGTGATCTGCTGGACCCGGGAGAGAACCAGAAACCTGTGACGCACAGTAAAACATTTCTCTCCTCTGACGTCGGGACTTTCAAAGTCGTCTTCTGGCGTGGTGGGCTCCGAGTCCCCACTCGCAGGTGTTAAATGCTGCTCCCGAATGTGACTGTCAGGCATTTAATTGTTTCTTTGCAAAGAGCAGAGGGGCATGGCTTTCTTTTATAGGAGAGTGCCTGCTTGAGTGTCTTCAATAAGACACTAAAATTCAGGTCGAAAATGTTAAAAGAAACTCCCTCAAAGTTTCCTCATCGTGGCTCTGACCCCTTTCCCTGACCTAGCCATAGGAAAAAAAAAAAGAGGTACGTGGCCAGCAATTTAAAAAGTATATAGGCCGGGCCCGGTGGCTCACGCCTGTAATCCTAGCTCTCTGGGAGGCCGAGGCGGGCAGATTGCTCGAGGTCAGGAGTTCAGAACCAGCCTGAGCAAGAGCGAGACCTCGTCTCCACTACAAGTAGAAAGAAATTAATTGGCCAACTGATATATATATATATATATAAAAAAAAATTAGCTGGGTGTGGTGGCACATGCCTGTAGTCCCAGCTACTCGGGAGGCTGAGGAAGGAGGATTGCTTGAGCCCAGGAGTGTGAGGTTGCTGTGAGCGAGGCTGATGCTACGGCACTCACTCTAGCCTGGACAACACAGCGAGACTCTGTCTCAAAAAAAATAAGAATAAAAAATAAATAAATAAATAAAAAGTGTATATATATATATATATTTTATTTCATCTGTTTAACAAGAGAAAGCTTGGAAATTAACTGCCAGGCGTAACTGGTTTGTGTTTGATGCTTTCTGCAGTCTTAATTTTTTTAAAGTTGTATTGAGATACCGCTGGCACATGGCAAAGGCACGTGTTTAAAGCATGCAAGTTGGCGAGTGGCTGCACGTGTGCACGCCTATGAAGCCTCCGTCACAGGCGGGGCGACGAGCATTCCCGTCGCATGCAAAAGTTCCCTTACGCCACTTTGTCATCTTCCCTCCCAGCCCTGCCCCCGCAGGCCACCCACTGCAGACCTGCATCCTGTCCATCCTGTCGCTACAGATTGCTTTGCATTAGACTTTAACGTAGATGGAGCCAGTCCTCTGTCCCTTCGCTCGGAGTAGTTAATTTGAGGTGGGGCCTGTCCTGGTGTGCATCCCTTGTTCCTTCCTTTCTGTTGCTGGCTGGTGTCCCAGGGCGTGGGTAGACCACCGTTTATCCATCTACCCCTTTGTGGAAGGCGGGAGTGTTTCCGGCGTGGGGGCCGTTACGGATGAAGCTGCGTGAACATCTGCGCATGGGGCTTCGTAGGGACCTGGGCTTTCTTTTCTCTTGGGTGAACATCTGGGCGCAGAGTGGCTGGATCACGTGGCAGGTGCATGTTTAATGTTTTCAGAAACTTCTGCGGAATTTTGAAAAGAACCCCAGTGCTTGCTTGGCTGTAGGCGCGTCTGCGCCCATCTCACGGTGACTCCCCAACCGGGTGGGCCAGCTTTGGGTGGGATGCTCGGGGGTGGGGAGGGCTGGGGGGGGCGCTTTGCCCGCCCCCCTCCCCCCCCCAGTTTAAATATCCCTGTGTCTTCGGAATCACTTCTTTGAAGTGGTTAGGAGAGGGTTCGGTTTAAGTGACGTCCCTCTTATTTTCATTGAAATACCATGGTGACAACAAGAGCAAGAGCTCTGGGGGGATGGGTTGAGGCTGGTTTAGTCTTTTTTCTGTACGTTTGTGCGTGTTTGAAAACCTTCGAGAAAGGAAAAGTTAATAAGTAAACGCTTGCTTTAAATATAATGAGATTTCATCTCTATAAGTAGACTTTGAGGATGTGTGTTTAATGTGGTGAAATATATATAATACAAAATATACCATTTTATTTTATTTTATTTATTTTTTTTTGAGACAGAGTCTCGCTTTGTTGCCCAGGCTAGAGTGAGTGCCATGGCGTCAGCCTAGCTCACAGCAACCTCAATCTCCTGGGCTCAAGCAATCCTAATGCCGAGTAGCTGGGACTATAGGCATGTGCTACCATGGCCGGCTAATTTTTTGTATATATATTTTTAGTTGGTCAATTAATTTCTTTCTATTTTTAGTAGAGATGGGATCTTGCTCAGGCTGGTTTTGAACTCCTGACCTCGAGCAATTTGCCCTTCTTGGCCTCCCAGAGTGCTTGGATTATAGGCGTGAGCCACCGCGCCCGGCCTAGATTCCTTTATAATGAGAATGGATTCGTATATTACTTGTGTAAAATTTACATAGTAAAATATAAACAAAGTTTAAAATCAATATGTTTTTAGAATTCTTCAATGGCATTCCACCATCTAGGGCAGGCGTCCTCAAACTACGGCCCGCGGGCCACATGCGGCCACCTAGCACATTTATCCGGCCCGCTGGTGTTTTTGCCGCCGCTGCCTGTCCTGCTGAGCAGCCGACTCGTCCCGG